AAAAAAAAAAAAACCTTTTAGAACAGGAATATGAAAAACAGTCGCTGTAAGTTTGCTACCAAGGTATCTTTTCTGAATTATAATTAACAAAGGTGGGATATGATCCCGGAAGAAAGGGATGAGGTTTAATGAATGAGGGAACCCATGTGATGGGAGAATACCGTTGGGCACCTGCACCTGTGACTGGGGAAATGGAGGCAGCTGGGGATGAATGCGGATGGCACAGGGGACCCTGATTTGCAGGAAAGACAATGAGCTCACCCCTTGCTGCCCTGTGTAGGGGGCACTGTTGGCACCTCCTACAGGACATGCCCAGCAGAGAGAGAGCGTCTGTGGGATGAGGAGATCAACGCAGAGATTCAGTGTGAGGCCTCTGGGTTCAGACAGTTCTGGAGCACAAAGCAATGAGCCATGCATTGATGTTGTTAAAAAGGAGCTTATAAATACTTAAAGCATCACCCAAGTGTGTTCTGATATAAATGCTGTGACCCTGAGGTCCTGGAGATTGAGAGAGGAAGTGATGTCACTTGGGAACTGCCCTGTGGAGATAAGGATGTCCCTCCTCCTCTGCTCCTGCTCACAGTGACACTGATCTCATAAAGCCCCCATCCTGCCTGACCCTGCCATGGGCACCAGGCTCCTCTGCTGGGTGGTCCTGGGTTTCCTAGGGACAGTTGATTCCTCAGAACACCAATTAGTTTCCTTTTGCCTCTGTGTGTAGATGTGTGTGTGTGTTCACATGCGTGTGTGTGTGTCTGATATGCTTACAAATGTTTTTCCTTATTCTGTTGCCTAATTCTATTTTCACAGATCACACAGGTGTTGGAGTCTCCCAGTCCCCCAGGTACAAAGTCACAGAGAGGGCACAGGATATAGCTTTCAGGTGTGATCTAATTTTGGGTCATGAAACGCTGTACTGTATTGGTACCAACAGAACTGGGACAGAGCCCAGAGTTTCTGACTTACTTCAGGTATGAAGCTCAATTAGACAAATCAGGGCTTCCCAGTGATTGGTTCTCTGCAGAGAGGGCTGGGGGACCCTTCTCCACTCTGAAGATCCAGTGCACAGAGCAGGAGGACTCTGCTGTGTATCTCTGTGCCAGCAGCTCAGCCACAGTGTGGCACAGTCGCCTCCTTCCTGCTCACAAACCTCCTCCTCTCCCTCCTGGCAGCTCCTAGAGACCCTTAACAGAGGCCTCTCCTTGCTCCTCACTTTTCATGGGAAAGAAGCAGATTTGGACCTCAGCTGTCCTTTGGGTAGAGTGAGACCACAGATCCATTCCTGAAACACAGTGACTGCAAATGTAGGTGGTGAAAACAATCATGGCCCATGTGTTCTAGGAGTCCTCGGAGCCAGCTCACTGCTCCAAGCAAGGTGTGGCTGTCTTCGCCTTGGCCTTCAGGGCAGAATGCATTTTCTAGAGGTCTTGGTGGCTGCAGTGCTGCCCACGTACATGAGGTTGTCATGGGCAGGAAACAGACCTCTTCTCCCGCATGTGTTGGGGCGTCTGGTGTCTGGAACACCTTTCTTCTGAAGCCCCTTCTGTCCCTGTCACCTGGGAAGTTTTCTGCAACAAAATATCAAACCTCTCTTCCTGTTTGAAATAAAGGTCTTGCAACTTTTGTGGTCCTTACTTGATAAATACAATGATGACAACAACAAGACTTTATCTCTTCTGCCTACCTGAAGCCAGGAGTACCCTTTATTTTGTTTCCATTTGTCATTGCTGCTGTCCTGATAGACAGAAGCATGCATTCACCACCGCTGCCAGTTCACCATGGTTCCCTCTGGAAATCCGATTTCTAGACGCTGAGTGTTTTCATTGCTGCCCAGCTCATTTGACTGAAATAATTTTCCTGAGGTCCTTAACTCAAGAAGTGCTTTATTTATCATATTTTTGATTATATTCCTTTTTATTTTATTTTTCATATTATATATTGTTTTATAGTACTTGTTATAAATAGAAGTATAATGATTATATTGCAATAGAATCTTCCACCTGTCTGTGGGTGATGCTGCAGTTTGTATCTGTGAAATCGAATGCACTGGTCAGAGCTAATACGTTTATAGATCATGGGTTTCTGAGAGTCCTCAGTGACAGATGACTTCTCCAATTCTGGGACTGTGTCCCAGATGCAGTCATGATAGAGGTGCTGTGAGCCTTTCATAGCTAGAAGGGGCATCATAGTCCTTCCAAATCCACTGATCAGAAATTGTGCTGGTACAGACACCAAATTTCTTTCCCCAGAGAATGGTGGTCTCTAACTGGAGTTGCTCTGGACCCATTTTTTATTCTGCCGTCATCAAATCGCTCATTGCTCAGGTGCCCTCTGTCTCCTGGGACTGAGTGAGGCCAGGGCACAGATGGGAATTCCCTGTCTTCCTAGACCTTCTCTCTAACAGCTGCCACCTTCCTCCACATTACCCCTGCGACACCTGGACCTAACAGTGGACAAGCTCTGACACTGAGGCTGAACAGAACATGGTCCTCAGTTGTAAACGGTGCTGAAAGAACATGTAACAAAAGCGAGCAGGGCTTCCAATTTATACTGAGAACGAACATGCAAGAGGAGCAAAGGCAGATGTTACTAATGAATGAATAGGAAGGAATGGGGTTTCTGCTCTGATGAAATGATCCTGTTGTCCTAAGTTGAGCCAGAGAAACATTTCAATGCAATTACTTCAAGTCAGAGGCTAGCAGCTCTCCAACCAACCAGCGTAACTATTTGCTCTGTGATCTCGGCAGCTTCAGAGGACTCAGAAATCCTTTCTCTGCACAAATGTCTGTTTGTCCTTTCCAAGACCCAGGATCACATACTCTGATCCTCTCAAGAAAATAATGAGGTGTGCCCTAGCTGCTGTTGCCTCATTTTTAGCGTGTTGAGTATGAAACATTGAAAAACTCTGAAGGCTTTGCTCTTGAGTTTAGGGATGAGCCGGAGCCTGCTTGTATGACTCAGAAAAATCAAATAGGCATACTCTTCCCAGGTCCCTGTTTAGTGAGGCCATGAGGACAGCTTGGAATGTGCCGTGATGGGTGTGCTGGCGCAACAGGAATAATAAATGCTAGCAGGCATGCCCCTACCTTTACAGACACCCAGTTTCGCAGCACATCACTGGAGTATTTTCTGATGTCCTTGTTATGCCATGTCTTATGGGGACAAAAGCATTCAGAATTCACCTCTCCTCCACTCTTGCTCCTGGAAGCCATCATCTACTGGGGCCTCGATTGTTGCTATTTCTATTCAACCTCCAAATTCTCTTGCTCTTTAGGTCTGTGTCTCCTACACGCATGCCAGTCTGGAACTTGACAACTATTTTGAATGTAACTAAAGGTATCACTGAACAAGTTCATTATTTTCAAGTTATCTTCCCTAGCGTGGAATATTCAGATGCTAGAGTCGCTGGGAACAGAGATGGGCAAGCAGCAACTCTGGGTTGTGAACCACTTACAGCCCCACTATTCTTGCTTGTTATCAACAGATGCTGAAACAAGGAGTAATTTGCTTTGGAAACTAAGCAGCTCTATGCCAGTCAGGAATGACTCTGGTTTTATGTTTGGCTGAGAAGTCAGAAGGGTGACACCCTAAGTATTATTCTCTCCAAGATTAAGTACTCCATCTCAGTCCCTGGAGGTTGTCCAGAGCTCCCAGAGTATCCCTGCTCTGGGGCAGAATCACCAAGGCTCATCCTCGCCAGCTCCCCACAGGCTCCAGGAGGGCTTTCCTGCCAAGTGCAGGGCACAGGAATGGCTGTGTCTGTTCCTTAGGTAGAGGGAGGCCAGAATGATGTTAGTATAAGAGGGACTGGGATTCTGGGCCTCTTTTAAATTATTTGAAAAAATTTTTTTGTTTTTTTTTTGTTGTTTTATTTTGCCATTTCACCAATTAGGAGAGCAATCCCTTGGTAGTTATATTGTTTTAGGCACTTGGGAAGGTTTTTGTGGTTAGGTTACATTAAGAAATCGTGCTTTTTTTCCTGTTCATATATAAACTGAGACAGTGAAAGAAACAGCAATAGTTTTCAAAGCAGTCACTTACATATCCTATGACAAAGGTGGTAAGTTGCATTGCCCACATCTAATTTTCAGTCTAGTGGAAATGAAAAGACATGGTTAGAGGGCATGTGAGCATGTCATGAGAGAGGTCGATGTCAATTGAGAGGTTGATGCCAACTGAGAGTTCTATGCCAATCCCCAATACTGTGGGATTGAAGGAGTGGAAGAGATGACATCTTCTTCAGAACTTGCTCAACGAGGAAGGACTAGGAGTTCATCCATGGAATCTGAGGAGGAGCAAATCCCAGGGGCAACTATTTAGGGTGCTGGTGCAAATCCTTGGTCCAGTCTAGCTGTCACAGGAGACAGGAGAAAGAAAAATAATGTGATCCACAGTCCCCTGGTTGATTTGGTTCCTTATGATACTGTTTTGCACCAGCATGTCCTCATCTCCCAGCACCCTTCTGCCTCTTCCAGAATCATCTCTTCTCTCTTTGCTCTTCAGATCAGTGGGTGTGCATTGTCCAAGTTGATCGTTTCATGTAGCAGGCCCTTTGCTGGTCTGAATTATGTCCATCCTTATTTTCTGCATTAGGTACCGCCCCCTCCACCATTGCTGATTGCCTTGTAAGAGGTCTCCTTTTGTATATTTCAATTTTACATTTTATTAATACACATTTGACTTCATCTTTTGCTGATCTATACTTTTAGGGTAACATTTTTGGAGGACATTTTTGTTTATCTGTAGTGATTCAGATTAAATAATCTCTTCATACTACAATGTCTCTGTTTTCTTCCTGTTTAAAACCAAATATTATTTTATTTCATTCTTCTCATTCTGTTCCTGTTTCTTTACATGGTAGTTTCAAGGGAGAAAAACTTATGACTATAAACTGGAGCGATGTGATAAAACTTATTCAGAATGAGGGTCGGATATTAAGCTTGGTAACTCAAAGCAATAGTCAGGGTTAGAACTAGTGTTGGGAAGAAGGTTTAGGGAAACTGATCATAAAACCTGCTGGATGGGGATGGCTCTTCTGGAATAATCTCCCAGCTCACTTTCCAGCATTCCTTGGGCCATTGCAGAAGAAACAATGATGAAACTTCACCTATTGGCCACGAGATGGCACTGTGGTCCACTGGGATCTAAAGGGCTGGGGGAGTGGAGGGGCCTGGCAGTGCCGCCTAGGAGGGAAAGGGTTAAGAAAACTTAGGGCTTGGATCCAATATTATACAGATGTTGCAGCAGTTTTCAGTGATTGCTAGGCTACCTACAGCTATGCAAGAGGCAGGAAGTCCCTCTAATCTCCAATGAGATCTTCAGTTGAAGAATTTGGCCAGGGCAGGCTAGGTGTCAGGGGCGGGTACAGAGGAGCAACTAACTGCCTCAGAGGAACAGGGGAAAGCCAGGGATGGGCTGTGCCCTGAGTCTAGTGCATTTCTGCTGCACTTTATCTTCCCTGTGGTCTCTCCAGGCAACAGCTTTAACCTGCTTGAGTGATCTGGGATTCTCACTTATAAACTCACAAGTTTATAAGTCGTGCTGATAATATCACCTTGACTTGGTTTCCATTGGACACCACGCACGTGTTCTCTGGAGGACAAAAAATATTGATAACAAGTTCTAAGACACCCAAGTAAACAAACTACTGAAGGAAAATGTTAGTAGATGCACCAAACTGTTCCATTAGAACTGAAGATAATCAACTAGTAGAATTATTGAAAAGAGGCTATAAATAAGTCTTTGTGGGTATAGAGCAGGGGTTGAGTCCTCTCAGGGTAGATTAAGGTATTATCATCTATCGCATACTTTGGCTTAGATGGAAATTCATGAGCTCCTCAATTTATTTTATTGTAAAATATATTAAGCAAACATTTTGTTTTTCTCCAGCCTGTATCCCTCTTTACCACTTACAGGTAAAGTGGACACCTAGAGGCAAGGTTTCTTTCATTGGGATCCATTAACTGCAGGATTGAGTGGAGCATAGCTGGGTTTCACAGGGAGTGCAAACCCCATGTGCAGGGAACCCCATGTGTCTGTGCTGTGTCCAACTCCCCTCTGTGACTCTGCCAAAGGGGGAGTGCCCGGTCACCCAGGACCCCCACTCACAAAGAGGGGAGTAGGCTGCTTGCTTGGCAAAAAAAAAAATCAATTCACCAACTGGCCAATCTGTTGAAAGCCAAAATGAAAGGCTCAACTGTGAGTCTCATGAATGCCCAACTTCCCAAGTTATGAAACTGATAACAGCTCATGGTTCTCAGAATGATTTCAACAGCATATGAAGGTATGTCTAGAAAGCTTTGTTTGTCTACAGCCTTCCTTGATATTGATCCTCAGTTGAGTTTCAGCCCACTCAGCAGCTGAGCTTATTTTGATGCCACATTTCAGTGTTGCCCATTTCAGTCACTGAGCACTTCTCACATTCGCCATATCTTACACACATCTGTGTGCTCCTGTCTTTTCTTATTTTTGTGTGATTCATTTTTAAATTGGGCTGTGCAGAACACAAGCATACATTTGCAAATGACTCCTATCTTTTATTCAATTGAACTGTGTACTTTTTAGTAATTCTTTTTATTAAGGTATAATTAATGAGAATAAAACACAAATATTAATATAAGGACATCCTGGTACATTTTGAAAAATGCATACACCAGTGCAACAGTAACTGAAATGATTAAAACAATTTTCCGTCACTCAAGAAAGCATCCTCATGCTCTTTTCCAATCCATTTCTATCCCAGGGATAACTTTTTAAAATTTTTATCACCATTGACTAGTTTTGTCTATTCATGAACTTCATATAAATGGAATCATATAATATTTTTATTTTCCTCCAAAATTAGTATTTCTAAAGAGTATTCATATTGTTGTATCAGTAGGTCATTCTTTCTAATGACTAATATTCCATTGCATAAATATACCACAGCTCGCTTATCCATTCTCCTGTTGATGGATATCCATGTTACTCCTGTCTTCCACTATTATAAATAAAGTTGTTGTGAACTTTTTTGTGGAATTCTTTCTTGTGGACATATGCATTTTTTTTTTAAGTATAGACTTAAGAGTGGAAATGCTGAGTCATAGTGTAGATGTGTGTGCTATGCCTGGTGTCCCCACAAAAGCTCATGTTGAAATTTGCCAGTGTAATGGTATTGGGAGGTAGGACAGTTAAGAGGTGACTAGGTCATGAGGGATCTGTCCTCAGAAAGAGATTGATGCCCTTATTGTGGAAGTGAATTAGTTGTCTTGGGAATGGTCTTCTGACAAAAAGGATAAATTCAGTCATTTTCTCTGTCTTGGGTGCTTGCTTCCTCTTCCTTCTGCCTTGGAGAACAGCAGGAGGCCCTCATCAGTTGTGGCCCCCTGATCATGGACCTCCCAGTCTCCAGATCTCTATGCCAAAGAAATCTCTTGTCCTTATAAATCACCAGTCTGTGGTATTTCTCTATAGCAGTAGGAAAAAAATTGAAAGAAAAAAATGGTACTGAGAGTGATGCTGTTGCTATCACAAATACCTGAAAATGTTGAAGCAGCTTTGGTTAATGGGAAATGGGTAATGGATAGAGGTTGGAAGAATTTGGAGAAGCACACCAGCAAAAGCCTAGATTGCTGAAAACAGAGCATTAAATGCAATTCTGGTGAATGCTCAAAGGGAAATGAAGAACAAGGTATCATAAATAGAAGTAAATGCCATCTTTGTTATAACTAGCAAAAACCTTGGCAAAGTTGTATCTTGTTCTAGTACATTATGGAATGTAAAAATTATGAGATATTAGCTAGGATATCTGCTGAAAGAAATATCTAAGTGGCAAAGCATTCAGGGTACTGTGCGACTACTTTTAGCCACCAGAAAATTTAACTCAGCAAGAAGGGAACCAAAAGAATAGATTTTACAAACCAGCACAGCTGGTGACCCTACCTCCCTCTGCTGTCCTGTCTCCAGAAGCCAAACTCACCCTGGAGCTAGAGAAAAGGGGAGCCAGTTAACATAATACACTGGGGTCGGCCTCTGAGGGGAGGGTGGACCTAGAGGGATTAACATACGCTGTCCAGGGACAGCCTTGAGGGTGCTCAGTCCCAAGCTGGCTAGGTCTGTGCTGTGAGCTGATTAAGCCCTAGAATTATTTCTGGGGAATCTGTACTGTTAATAACTTACAAACAACCCAGGTCTGCTTTGGATCTGATCAGATGGACGAAGTCTTGCGGACTCTGCACCACTTGCCGCCCAGGAAAGGGGCTGGGAATGTTGCCTGGGGAAGAAAAACATAGTAGGAAACATTGATGTGAATCAAGCATCAGAAAGATGATGTGAGGACAGCAAGGAAGAGCTGGAACCTGAGGGTTTAATCACAGGCTCCTCACCCTCTGCTGATGGGCAGGTATGGGAGCTCCAGCACGGAGCACCACAGCACTAGGTGGGAGAAGGGTGTGAGGGTGACAGGGCAGCCTGGGAGCCGGGGCAGTGTAGGCACCAGAGGAATTGTTTCATCACAGATGCTTCTGCCCTCACCCCGCCCTCTGGCTCTGCAGGACAAGTAGAGAATACAGGGTCTGTGGAGCACTGGACCGAAGGAAGCCTCCTGCAGGGGGAGGACACAGGACAGTGACATCACAGGATACCCCTCCCATCAGGAAAATCAAGGCCCTGAACTCAGGTTCTTTCCCAGGAGGACCAAGCCCTGAATCAGGGGCAGTGTTGCCTTCCCTACTGTGCCATGAATCACGAGCTCTTAGGCTGGGTGCTGCTTTGTCTCCTGGGAGCAGGTAAGTCCTGTGCACAGGACAGCAGCCCCATCCTCAGCTTTCCCACCCCTGTGTCCTCCACTTTACCCTGGGGATGCACCTCCAGGCTGTCTCCTGTGCTCATCTTCCATCTGCTTTTCCCACAGGCCCAGTTGAAGCTGGAGTCACCCAAAGTCCCACACACCTGATCAAAACGAGAGGACAGCAAGTGACTCTGAGATGCTCTCCTATCTCTGGGCACAGCAGGGTGTCCTGGTACCAACAGGTCCTGGGTCAGGGGCCCGAGTTAATTCTTGAGTATTATGAAAAGGAACAGAGAAACAGAGAAAACTTCCCTAATCGATTCTCAGGTTCCCAGTTCCATAACTATAGCTCTGGGCTGAATGTGAGCGCCTTGGAGCCGGGGGACTCGGCCCTGTATCTCTGTGCCAGCAGCTTGGCACAGCCCGGCAGAGTCACCGACATTCTGTATATAAACTTCCTGCCTCAGCTTTGACTTGAGAGCTACTGGCCCCACCCAGGTTTCACTCCTTCAAGGGAAGCTTTGAGTTGTTAGGAAGGCATGTCTTGTGTCCTGCTGAGCACAGAGCTCTCCCAAACAACAGAGCCCAGGCTTCCTGTGCCCTGAGTGCTCCTGCTTCTCTGTTGCATCTTCTTGCATCTTGTCACTTCCTGGGTAACTTTAGTAGAAGAGTGGATGCTGAGCCCCAGATATGTGCTAGATTCTTCGCATTTGTAATATATCTTCAAGCTTTGCAACAATCTTACAAATCAAACATTCTTATTCTTCCTTTCCAGATGGAAGGCTCAGGGACATTGAGTCATTTCCCCCAGTGTCTCCTGGCTTTTAAGGATCAGAAGTGGGAAACTAACTAGTCGGTGACGATCAAGTCCACACATTTTCCACCTACCGCCGCTCCGTCATCAGCTCCTGTGTCCTGGTCAGTATGACAGAGCCCTCACCCTGTCCTCCAGTGACCAGCAGGGCCGCAGTAGAGGCTCAGACATTTCAGCGGTCATTACTACGGCCTCTGCATTAGCAATTTGATGAATGTTAAATTTCACACTTTTTTTTTTGGTTTTTGAGACAGAGTTTCACTCTTGTCGCCCAGGCTGGAGTGTGATGGTGCGATCTTGGCTTACCACAGCCTCTGCTTCCTGGGTTCAAGTGATTCTCCTGCCTCAGCCTCTAGAGTAGCTGGGATTACAGGCATGTACCATGACTTCCAGCTAATTTTGTATTTTTAGTAGAGACAGGGTTTCTCCATGTTGGTTAGGCTGGTCTCGAGCTCCCGACCTCAAGTGATCGGCCCATCTCGGCCTCCCAAAGTGCTGGGATTACAGGTGTTCAGCCACCACACCTGGCCCACTATTTTTTCTAAATCACTTATAAGCATTCCCTGTGTATTTTTTCAGTCTGTAGCTTATATTTTCATTTTTATGGTGGTTTTTTTTTTTTGATGCACAAGAGTTTAATTTAATGCAACAAAAATTAAAAACAAATTTGTTTGTGTGTAGACAAAAACTCCTTTGTCATATAAATGTCTAAACATATTTTTCTTAATTCATTCCAGTAAAATTTAAGTTCGACTTTTCACCCTTAAGAATAAATGTACCTGAAATATATCTCATTCAAGAAACAAGATAGAGACCTGGGAATGGGAGGGAGGACATGTGTTCAGAGAGGAAGCAATAGCCTGTCAAAAACATCCCTAAAGTGGACACCCTGAACTGACAGTGGAGAGGTAGGTGGAGGGCACACGATCACAAATCTCGTCTGGCTGTTGTCTTGTAGAAGAAAGCCAGCCAGGAGCAGAGACCACAAGGGCGAAGGTTTATGACTGACTGTAGGTTGAAGGTTACAGCAGGTAGAGGAGGAACAGCAGGCAGTTAGCAGAGTCACTGGCTGGCAGGGGCAGTGGCATCACCAGTTGATTCCACTGACATCCAGGACTTATGTCCCCAACACACAAACCAAAAAACCTCCCACAATCGGCCCATGTTTCCCTGGCCCTGCCATGGCCACCAGGTTCTTCAGTGGTGTGGCCTTTTGCCTCCTGGGGGAGGTGAGTGCACTAAAGCCTTTCCTTGGCTCACCACATCCTAGCCTTAGCCTTTACGTCAGGTCTACATTAGTGGGGTCCCTTTATGGGCACTCAGCTTCCTTCTATCATAGACTTCACAGTTGCTGGGACAGCCAGATCCCAAGACACCAGAGAACAAAGGCAGGGCATGAAGTGACATGCAGATGCCTGAGACTGTCATCCATGACTACATATGCAGGTGTTAACAGGACCCGAAGCTGATACGCAGCTGATCTGTCCCAGCAGGCACTACAGAGAAATCCCTGAGGGTCTGTGACTTTCTCTCAAAGCCAAATACGTGACCTCACTGTCAGACAGCCTCCCAGACTGTGCCCTCTTGCACCAGCAGTCACCCCACAGCCACCTTCCTCTGCACACAAAGCTCAGTGGAAGATACAGGTGGCCTTGCCTTCACAAGACTGTGATCCAGGCAGTGGAAGACACTGTCCCTTTGGAGTCTCCCCAGCACTGCCCAGGCTGGGGCCCTCAGAGCTCTGAGCAGCCCTGTGCGTGTGAAACTCTGCTCTGTGCTGAGCTTCTCTCCCAGGCCAGTCTCAGCTGGGTGAGGGAATGTACAGCACCGTGATGTAAGTGGATGCAGCCTCCCTTCCAGGCCCCTCCTGCAGCTCTGGCCTCAGAAGTCCTCTTCCTCAGTTGCTCTCAGAAAGGAAAGTTCATTGGAAGTTGTATATTTGCAGGCAGCATTGACAACACAGGTCTGTGTCTTTTCCCTGTAGGCCTTCACAACTCCATCTTCCCCACACCATGCTCATGTCAGTCCTCAGCCTCCTCCGAGTGATGTCTGCTGCCAGCTGTCCCCTCCCTTCCTCTGCACCCTCATCTCCGCGTCAACCACAGACACCTCAGTTCAGGCCATTCCTCATGCATCATGCTCCTCCTACCAAAGGCCTTTCCACTCCGGGCTGTATCCTCTGTGTCAACACAAGTCTCTTCTATTGTGTTCTTGCTTCAAACCCCAGTTTACCTACCACCACCTCTACGGAGCCACTCCTTCAACAGTTTTTCTGGCTGCACCTCCTCATTGTACATGCTCACAGCTTATAATATGCATTAAAATTCACAGGTTTGGCACCATTGTCGTTTGCCATGACTTTCTGCGACTATTTAATGGACACTTCTCTTGCGCTCCAGACTGTAAAATGCATTATTTTAGAAACTGTGGATGTTTTATTCCTCATTTTATTGTCAGCACCAACAGCAGTTCCAGGTGCCAGTGGCCAGTCTGGAAAGAATAGAGAATGGATAGTGAAGGACCCTCTGGGTACCCACTGAGACTGTTCCAGAGTCTGGATACATTAAATGGGAGCCTCCATCCCTTCATCTCTTAGGATCAAATGAGTCCTGGAAACAGACGAGGAAACCCTGTCACAGATAAATGACTGGATCCCAAGCCTTCCTGCAGGACTGAACTTCCTATCTGCCCATCGCCCTCCTAGCTTGCCCCCTCCTTCAATCTCCTTCCCTTGTAGTTGTCCTGGATTTTGGAGTCTCCCAGACACAGGGCACCTAATCACTGGCAGAGTGATCAGAAATATAATGTCAAACACTGGCATTAAAAGGTGATGGACAAGAAAACAAATGGCTTCTCCATTCTCTTAGAGAGAGTTTTCCCAAGGCACAAATATCTCTTTGGGTGGCTTTGAGGCCATGGTGCTTGATACACTGGGCTGAGTGTATCAAGTGTATCATGGGTGTCCATTTTCATGAATTGGTGAGCAGTGCCAGAGACACAGAGCTCACAGTCACCAGTGCCCTCCAGCCCACACCTGATTTTGGTGCAGGGCACTAATCAGAGCCCTTTGCTTGTTCCCTCCTTTGCCAGACAGGAAAGACTGATTGTGAAGCAGAAGCTCTGTTTACAGAGCAGGGCTATGTGTTAGTCCCTGAAGAATTGGGAGAGCCATTCTGGGTGGAAATAATCAAACACTCAATCACCAAGGATGGCCCACGGATAGACTGAAGCCCCATCTATGTCAAATGATTTGCGTCCATGCTTAAAGACGAATGCAGCTTAATCTCACTAGTCAGTAAAGACCAAAAATAGACTAGCTATTTTAAATAACTGAACCTTAGACAAAGTTAGAACATCTTCCCTTGGGACAACATTCTCTTCCACTCACTTGCTAAACCTGTGTTTGAGAAAGCTGTGTCCTGTTGATAATCGTTGGAATGTCATTACAATAGACATTGTAACAATATTGCTACTTGGATTAGAAACGAAGCCTGTCTAAAGCTTGAAAAATGTAAAACTGGAAATGAACTCTTATTGAGTTTGGAAATGCAGGCACTAGAGGGTGCTCATTTCTCTTCCTTTTCAAATAAGGAGGCTATTGAAAGCCTGTTCTGGAACAAGGGGTGAGATTCTCCACTTCCTCATGGTGATCAGGCCTTCAGAGGTAGAGGCTTTATTGGTTCATAATCAGCATCAACTGACCTCACCATCAAATGTATCGACCTCAGTGCTCACCCTCCTCAGCAGTCAGACACCGGCTGTGTTCATCAGGACCTCAAACACTTTTACACAGCAGCACACTTTATCCTCGGTTTACTAAGAAAAAGTGGGGGGGCCTTTATAGGGGGTTCCATAAACAGAAGCTTTCTGTACTTTTCCCATTAGGATACTACAAATTCTGACACCTGATGAAAGGTGTAAACTTAAAGTTTGCACATGGTTAAGATTTTTTTAATAAACAAATTAAATAACATATAAAGAAAATGTCAACGCTCTGGAATCCAATCCCACTTTCCACTGGTAGCCAATATTAATGCTCTGTGTGCTTCTTTTCACCCTTTTCTATGTTCAGGCATACCTTTCTACCCAAGTGCACCTACAGAAAGTGGGTTCACCTGTACACTTTACCTGCCACATGCATACTCTTTTCTGTTAATATACCTTGGTCTTTATTGTTCCAGATTGGTCAATATAGACCTAAGTTGCTCCTATTAGCTGCTTCATATTGCATAGTGAGGGCAGACAGGTACGTTCGTGCTCTGTTGTCTGATTCCTAAATTCTGCCAGGTCTTTTCTAAGTGACTAAATGGCCTCTTTATGCTTCTAGGTTCTCCTCACCCCAGCACCCAGCTGATGATTCCAGCTTTTACATCATTCATAGTGCTAACAGGTGTGAGAGCTCCAACTATTTCTCCTCCATGAGGAGACAGGGAGGGATAAAAGGGTGGACATTTATCAATCTGCCAGAGATAACACAGTATTTCAGTTAATCTCCTTGAAGCATTGAGAGGAATGTTAGTCTTGTTTTACAGATGAGAAGGTTAGAGGCCAGGAAAGTTAATAAATGGCTTTGCCCATGGTCTCAGAGCTAATAAATGGTGGGGCCAGATGGAGAAGGACAGTCTACTTGCTTCTGTGTGGAAATGATAGAGAGATCCCTGGAGTTTGAGAGAGGGGAAGTCCAGAACCATCTGGGGTTGTCCTCAGATCGGACACCAGGGGTAGGAGAGACTGTGTACCCTCAGGTACAAGTATCGTGGTGTTGGCAGTAGGGAGGTTCTACAGGGGGTACTTGGTTAGTGGCCTGGAACCAGAAGAGCTGAGAATTGAGAAAATTATTCCCACCACAAGATGTAGCAGAGACACTGATGTGGATAAACTAGGCCAGAGAGCTCAATGAGGAGGTGTTGTTAAAATAAGGGAGGAAGGAGAAGAAACTAAGTGGTCACTTCCTATACGTGAAATGCAGAGGAAAACAATGTTGACTAGAATCCTTGCTTTGGAAGTACTTGGAAGGTGGGATAATTTATTTTCGAGGTTAAGTAAACATCTATATGGCGCTTTTACCTTGTGAAGGCTGGTGGAGAAGGGAAAAATGGCCCAGCCAATGGAGTCACAGTTTGTTTAATAAATAACTCAGGGTTCAAAGAGAGACTCTCATGGGCCAGAAATTGTTAAGTGTTCCTGCATTCTAAAATTGGGAGGGTCTTATTTTCTTTGAATC